AAAACAAATACAATATAGAGTTGAAAATTTTACTCTAAATCCTCCCTGACAATAACAGAAAACCTAAACTGAGCACTGGATAGTATTAATAACAACTTCCTTTCATATGCTCCTCCAAACTCCCATAATACTTTGTGTTATGAACTCTAAGCACTTTCCATAATTATTGTATTACTTTTAAAAATCCTTTACTAAGCCCACTTTACAAATCTGGACACGAAGGCTGAGACTAGTTAAGAAATTTTCCTATATTACAGAGCTAAGAATAACCAGAAACAAAATTCATAATCCAACCCTGTTGAATGCTTCTGAATCTCTTCTTGTGCTTACAGCTACCCTGCATCACATACCTTTTTGTGCTAATCTTTTTGCTCTATACTACACAAGTTTATCTTCTCATCTTTGTATATTCCAAATCCAGTGAATTTTAACTTTTATCTTTCCTTACTACTCAAGGTGAAATATATTCCCAGCCCAAACTTTCCACCAGTGGTGCCTTCCTTACTCAGGCCATTATCAATAATACAATGATCCCTATATGTATGTCTTCCTCTCTATGCCTATTTAAGAATCCCTATCCAAATGGTCTGATTTAGAACAGAAACTACTGTTAGACAACTATTAGCACCTATATTAGTTCAGCAAAAATAATTGAACCACTTTGGTTGCTTAATAAATGAAGACTAAAGTCCAGATACCATATGCATTAGAAACTGAAGGTCTTAACCTGATCAAACAATGAAAAATGCAGAATAAGCTCCTAAAAAATAAACAAGTGAGCAATTATAACTATTTAATCAATAAGTATTCACTGATCTGTGTGCTAGAAGTTATAAAAATTATAGAAGACTACATACGCATAAAGTCTATCTCCAAGAATTATATGTAAAGTGGGGGGGGGCGGAAACTAAAGAAAATAAGCAAGTTAAAATAAGTGCTGAGGAATTAAAGGATATAAAGATTAAAGTTGATTAATAAAATGGTTTAAGTATCACTAAATCTCGAAAATCAACAAACCAGGTGAGTATGGCAGGGAAAGATAATGGTTAGTAACAGCTCAAATCCATATAGACCAGAGATGGTTGTAGAGGCATGGTTTAATGTCTTATTTTTTCCTAATCCTAGTTGGTCACTTATTCAGCACTATATATGTTGAACTCCACTTAGCAAGATTGCACATATTCTTTATACAAAATTAATTCAGTCACACCACATGAAAGACAACATATCTAACTTAGTAACCTTGTTTATAACCTTCTTAAATTGTTCTCCCATAATACTACCAGCTAATGAATGGCATCAGAACTATTTGTATAAAAGTACCTATCATATATTTACATATTACAATGAAATCTCAATTTTCACAAAATATATTTTTAGAAACTGCAGTAAAACAATAGGCTTGCTCCTCCATGAAGCCAATCACCAATCAACAGTCTCATTAGCATTTAGGCATATTTGCAGCAAATGAAAATATGTTTCTGTGTACTTTTTCTGTTGTGGTTATAATGCCTGCCTTTATTGAAATTACCTTCCCTCACCTTCCATATATAACTGGGACTAATTTCTACTGGAGACTTTAATTGTCCTTGAATTCCCAAAGCACTCTCTTAATTCGGGCCCTCATATTTCGCTAGTACTACTATAAAACAACTATCTGATTTCCTTTGTCTTTCCCTCACAATCCTCAATCCACCTTCTACACTGCCGACACCTTTCCCCTGAAAACTTTCTAAGTCAAATATGATCTCGTGAGTACCCATTAAATAGTGCAATACTTCCTCAACCGCACCTCCTTCTTAGTTGTGAAATGTGCACTGAGATCTTAAGAGGTCGGAGAAATGCTATACTTAAAGTATTTGGTTTAATTTAGCTTCGATTCGCAAAGTATAGATCAAAAATTGAAGAAAAATCTATTAAGATTTTCAGCGTGCTCAAGGATTATCCTATCAGACAGCATGGACTTCAGAAGTGGTTTTCAAACTGTGACATACATTAGAATCTTCTGTCAAGCTTGCTAAAGATAGACATGGCCAAGCTTCACCTCAGACCCAATGATTCTGAATATTATCTAGGAATTGGGCCTAGATATATGCATTTCTCATAATCTCCACAATGATTCCAATGCATGCCTAAATCTGAGAGCCCAAGAAGAAGCCCTCCTTGCTCCCTAACAAACTTCTCCTAATTTTTCAAGCTGTTTCATATCTCTCATCAACCTGGGGAGTATCTGTTAATATAAATATTCAGTTATCATCCATTCTAAAAGGCTTTTACTCATCCTCTCTCCCACCATTCTTTCAATCCTCTAAACCTTCATAAAAATAGTTTCCATATATTTACACAGTCTTAATCCACACAACTACCCCATGAGATAGCATCCTTGTTTGACAGATGAGAAAACCAAATCTATGATAGGAAGCTTAAGAAACTTGTCCAAAGTGACCCCCAGTTTGAACCCACGTTTGCTGAATACAAAGCCAAGGCATTTTCTATTGTAACAAGTAGCCTCTTACGTATCACTCTGAAGCACTGACTTTTTTTCTGTTTACACATTTCCTTTTTTAGACCTAGTAAGCTCCCTGAAGACAATTTTCAGCCCTTCCAGATTTTGACCTCAATATTTAGTCAATAAATGTTTGTTGAATGAAAGAAAAAATGAAGCTTCTCCAAAGCTCTGACTATAATTACTTCTGTTTCAGTTCCTGAATTCTTGGATAGAGCTTTGGGTATACTTCTGTCTAACACATTTGGTCTGACCTGTAAACTTTATTGCTGGATTAATTATGAGACAATATATTTCAGTAATGTTTTAAACAACAAGAGAAAACAAACAAAAAACTGCACAATCAGCAAAGGGAGGAAAAGATTATTTTAAAAATTAAAATATCACTTTTACTTTGCTCTCTATTAACTAGAGACTTCAAATTTTAAAATCAGTATTTGCAATGACTTCATCCCACAAGAGTAGGCAACGGAAACAGTGTGGTTTTAAATGACAGAAATTCAAAAGGTAAAGTTGATTAATAAAAGATGGCATGAAGAAATTAAGCACTGAATACAGACAGCCTATTCAACAATCCACTTATGCTACGCAACGTGCAACACCATTTTTCTCTATCACAGTATTTTTCCCATCTGTCTTTTTTGAAACCAGTAAAGCTATAGGTAAGCACAGGAACAATTAATATACTTGTGTATAAATGTAATGTCCTTCCTGCCTAACGCGTCTGGTATGTAGAACACAGTAAATCTACTTCCTTTTTGATACAGATTACATAGCTAATATAGTAAACCAGCAACCGAACTTTTTTTCATTGGAGGTAACTACCATTCAAAGTGCTGGAGATTTTCCTAAATTGAACATTCCCAAACATTAGTGGCGCTTTAAGAATCTAGTATTTTAATTGTATTAGTTTTTGGTGAAAAAGGCAAAGTGGTTATTCCTTTAACACCACTTTTAAAAATAAATCAGTAACAAGAAAAAAAAATACCCTTCTAAACCAACATGACGTAGTGCAAAGTACAACGGGAAGGGACTAGGCATGAGGAGTCCTGGTATTCTAGTTCTGGTTACATTATTAAATTGCTGTATGACTTGGGCTCACTGTCTCAGTTTTCTCATTTGTTGAAAAAAAGCGTGTGTGGATGGGGAGGAGCTTGCTTATCTTTAAAGTTGTTACCCCAAATTCTTAGAGCCATTATTCTTGTTTCATTCTTCCAATCAGTAAACTAAATGTTCCCTAAGGTCTAAATTCTGAAATATGAAACGAATCTGAAATTGAATGGAACGATTCAATCTCCAACCGGACAGCACAAGATACAAAGGGTGGACTCCTATGAAGTTAACAATTAATCTGAGAACTTTCCAGAAATTCTCTAATCCTAACTTCTTAAAGCAGCAGATGAAATCTGGTTTGGCATTCCTAACATTACTTTAAAAAGTTATAAAATGGTATTGCTCTGTTGAAATTTCCGTGTTTTCTGGGTTCCAGTGGCACATACTCTGCAGGTGCTAGCAAGCAAAGTGGAAAGAGACCCAGCCAGTATTTCAACAAACCACACTTCAACCCAGTCACCGCAGTATGATCCCGAAAAGGCCTACACCACAAAGCAGAACCTCCCCACCCCCAGAAGTGCCAGCAGCCAATGTAATGAATGCTTCCGTCAACAACACACATTCCCCTTCCCACAGCAGAACTGCTCGCTCCCAACCGGCCATCTGGGGTTGGAATTGGCCGCACAGCACCAAACTAAGAATCATTCTCGGCCCCAAAAGCCAAGAACTACCAGAGACTGAGGTTTCCCTGCGCATGGCTGCGGGGAGAGCGGCACCCGCTCCCATCAATGGGGGAAAAAATCAGTGGGAAGGAGTAGAAACCAGGCCTAGGCAAGGTTGCTGGAGAAATAAATCTTGTTTCTCTTCAACGAGGAGCAGTAACATTTCTTGCCCTCTCTCTAATCCGAAGAGAGCCCAAGATCTTGTACTCGACTTCACTCCCTCCTGGAATCTTAATGCGAGATTAAAAACCACCTTCCTTCCGCGATCTATCCACTCCTCAAACCTGGCATTGTTAAGGAAGGTACCCCCAGATCAAGCAGTAGGAAGTGAAGTGAGAGCTAGAACAAGGGCCCAGCTTTTGGGACCAAGCGGCTCGTGCAAAAAAATCCCCTTGTGGCCGGAGAGTAAAGTTTTAACCAGTAGCACGAGCGCGGACCGAGGCTCGGCCAGGCTGGAGGACAGGCCTGAGGAGGTGACACTCCCTTGTTCTCCAGCAGCTCGGGAAGGCGGCGCCCGACCGCCCCGGCTCGCACCCAGGGAGCAGGGCTAGGGCGCCAGCGCCCGGCCCGGGTTGGGGCCGAGGCCGGCGGGAGGCCTGGCCGACAGCGGGACCCTACCCACTCGGCTCCCGCCTCCTTCCCCACTCCCACTTCCCGGCCCCCAAGCCCGGGCCCGTGAAGTAACGTCAGGGGTGGCGACGCGGGTCTTGGCTACTGACCACACATTTCTTGCCGAGGAAAGTGAAGAGGGACTCATTCTCCTGCGGAGTGAGCAGCAAGGACCCCACGTTGGTGACCCTCCGCGGCGGTGGCGGCTGCTGCTGGACGGAGCTCATGGTTTCGCCGGCGGGGCTGGGAGTCCAGGGCCGTCTCCTCCGGCGAGTGGACTAGAGCTCGTTCCCCCTCTCGGTGACAGGGTCTGGGAGGAGCGGAGTCAGAGGCGCTGCATCTCGCAGCTCCTCCGGCGCGGGGAGGAGGAGGAGGAGGTCGAGGGACGCAGGCGCTGACAGCGAGCCACCTTCGGGCCGCGCTGAGAGAAGGGGGCTCCCAGCTCCCGCCGGGTCAGGCTAGGGCCGGATGGTCGTTGTCCTCGCACTCCGGCGACTGCGCTAAACTCCCAACTCCTCCCCCAACCTTCCCGCAGCAGCGGCGGCGGCCGCACAATCCAACATGGCAGCAGGGGCGGGCGAGACCACAGGACGGAGGGCGCGGGGGAGCGCGCCGGAAACGCGCGGCCGGGGCCCGGGAGGATCCCCCCACTCAGCAGCGGGTCTCGCCGCGCCGGCCCTAGGCCACGCCCCCTTCCGGCCGAGGCGGGGACCGCGCGGAGCTAAGTGGGATCCCGGTTGTCTCCGGGCGCGGGCTTCCGACTTCGTTCTCTGGCCTCTGGCGTCTCCGGCTGGTCGGTTGGGTACCCAGACCCAGCCACTACTGCTTGAAGAATGTATGGAGACTTGTCGCCGCCGCTGTGCCGCCAGCCTTCCTTGGCCGGACGCACACCTTTATGAAGCGTCTGTGAAGACCCAGGGCCCCTCCTTGGAATAGCTCTTATTTCTCAGGCGCTCCGCGGGTTAGAGAGGCCTGCAATCTGAAGGCTGAAACCTGGGAAGATGCGCTCTGCCCTGTGCCGGCTTCGATAGGAGCCGCGGGTGCCTGGGATTTTCTCAGACTTTGTCCCAAACTTCAGCTGTGGGAGTGGAAGAACAGGCCTCTCCCATAATTGTGAAAGAGATCTCCCTGATGGATGTAACAAAAACAAATGCATTTGACTTCCACTGCCTGCCTGGCGTGTCACGTGGGTTCAATGTGTGTGTCACATTTAAATTCAAAGTATTTTCTTCTAAGGGCTCTGGACACTTTTTTTCTCCCTATATCGTGAATTGGAACATATCCCAGCATATTACAAGTTATCTAAGATAACTCCCTTTGTTCTGTAAGTTAAATAGTAAACGGTTGAAATGAAATTTTGTAATATAGAGATGATGCAGACGGCAGTGAATTATCAAATATGCATCTCACTATTCTCCACGTTAAACATATTAAGACTTGTTGCATAAATTCATGTCTGCTAATTGCTAAATTTCAATTAAAAAGTATACGTTAAACTTAAGACATCTGTAACAATTACACTGTGGTAAAATTGTTGGATGTTAAACAACTCTGATAGCTCCCAATAGAAATCTCTAATGTACTTACCAGCCTGATAAGCCATTATCAATGCACTTCGAAAATACTATAAAATGTTAAAATTAAAGCTGCCCTTAATGAAATTGGCTGAACAGGAATAAATTTACAAAGGAAAATGAGAGTGGATAGCCTTGAGAGTTACCACATAAAAGATGGAGATTTCAAAGTTAAACTTGATTAATAATATTAGGGTAAAAAGTGAATTAAAAAAGCAACAGGACTATTTATAAAGTAAGTAGGTTTGGAAAGCAGTAGTAGAAATATAAGCCTGCCGTTGCCTCTGAATTACAGATCTAACAAACCTAGAAGTTAAATCACTTTGTCTTTTACCAAAAATGCAACTCCTGTAAGTTGAAAGCACAGTTACAACAGAAAGCATTACAAATTCTTGAGAAATAATAAAAATTACAGCTCTTCTTTTCAAACCTTTGAACAAGTATAGTACCAGAAGTATAAGATTTAAATAGGCCCAAATTTTAGTTCTTGTTGTGAGTCTTACAACCTTATGGACTTTGGACAAGTTACTTCTCTGCGTCTCAGTTTCCTCATCTGTAAAATGAAAATAATTTGTGTCATACAGGTACAGTCTAAATGAGGGTAATTACACCTACTTCAAAGTTGTGAAATACAAAATTACAACTAGATAGGAGGTATAAGTTCTAGTGTTTTGTAGCACTGTAGGATGACTACAGTTAACAATACTGTATAGTTTCAAATAGCTAGAAGGATACTGAATGTTTCCAAAACAAAGACATTATAAGTTTTTGAGGTGATGGATATGCTAATTACCCTGATCTAATCACTATATGTTTTATGTGTTGCAACATCACTATGTACCCCCATAAATATGTACGATTATTGTGTCCATTAAATTTTTTTAAAACTAAAATATTATATTTTTTAAAAGATATCACTTGTAAAGGACCTGATACATAGTGGTCACTTAAGTATTAGTTGTCTGCCACTGACAGTCCTTGCCTATGATCTGTTCTGCATTCCCTAAGCTAAGGAATCAAGACTTGATATATGTATTCTTACCTTTGTTCTAAGTCTGCTCTTGAAAAAATGTCCTTCAAATTTACAATTGTACATAATTTTTCAAAAATACAGTGGAGAAATTGATAGCAGAATTTCTGATTAGGCCACATATTATGCCAAATAGGCTACATATATTCCAGGGTGCCAAAATAAAACTTTTTAAAACTGTAAATCTAGAGATAGAATTCTATTAGCTTCTAATTAATAAAAACTGAAGAACAGCAAATTTTATGCTAGAAATATCAGCTTTTAGAACTGTAGACCACCAAACTATTTTGAAGATAGGAAAGAGTAGTGGGAGAGGGCTGTGAAAAAAAAAAGCCATGAGATGATAGGTAAATGGACGGTAACTGCATTGAAGAATCTTACCTCATTCTGAGAATTATTGAATTCCAATCATTTCAAAACCTCTTACTAGCGTAGACTATTGTTTTATTGATTTTCTTTAAGGAAATTTTATGACTTATCTAAATGTAATTTTTTTTTAACTATTTGCCCTTATTCTGTTTTCTTTAGACTTGGAGATGGAAAATTATGACCACAGTGACTTTTTTCCTCAGGTCCAACCTTTAATTTTTCTCGAAATTTTTAATATAGTACTTTGTCCACAAAATTGCAATTTAAGTTCTTGTCTTGTACCCTTCATTGTTATTTTTGTTTTTCTCTGGGCTTTTTCTGACTCTTTGATGTTCTTAAAATGTGGAAAATGTAAGCATGAACATTTCACTGGAAATATGACTTCCTTATTCATTTGAGCCTGTGAACAAACAATATTTGGGGATTCCCTTCTTACCATATATAAAGAATTCTATTTTTTTTCATACTCATCCTGAGACCAAGCAGTACTCGCTGTTTTTGTTTCAAAAGTTTTAGAAAGTTCTTTCTTTCTTTCTTGATAGCATATCCTCTATTTGGCAGAACACAAGACATCTTTTCTCTGTGTTTTCTTTGGCAAGTTAATTCCTTATCTCAAATTCTTCTTACCCAGTTTGAGAGACTGGATTTTATCCAGGACATAAGCATTGTTTCCCTTCAACAGAGTATCTTGAAGTTTGTAAGCTCAGTTAACAAGACTACAGATTTTAGCATAATATATATATGTTGATATATAAAATGCATATGCTAGAAATACCAGCTTTTAGAACTTGTAGACCACCAAACTATTTTGAAGACAGGAGAGGACTGGGAGAGGGCTGTGAAAAAAAGCTTTATTAAGGTATATATGAATATAACCCAAAAAAGGTAATTCTTACATTTAATTTCTTCCATTTGACTTTCTTTACCTCAGCTAGAATCTATGCTAGTACTTTGTTTTCTTCTTTCTTTCTTTGGTAGGATCTTTTAAGGTAAAGCCCTCATTGTAACAGAAAACATTAGGGTAGCTTATTATGGAAATGAGGCCATATTTTCAGATACATTCCTGCTGTTATCCTTATGGGTACTTTGCAAGCTTTTCTTGTTCTGGTTCTTTGTTATCCATTTTTCTTCTTTACAGATGTCATTGTTTATGTACTGTTACAAGTCCTCTGAAACACCCTATTCCCCTTGCTAATGTTAATAATTTAAAATATAGTGACATCCCTTACTGTGGGGAAATGTAAAGGTGGTTGAATGCACACAAGGGCATTCAGCAGCTATTGTAGCCATAATTGCTGCTTGGCTGTGGTAGGACTGATTTATAGAGACAGAACAACAGCAAATCTGAATACAGCAAATCTGGATTTGCAGAAAAAGTCCAGGGGCAATAAGTGCTACTTCTCCCATGCAACCTCCACAAATGTCATGTGTTTAAAATGTTCATCTTGTAAAATATCTCTGCACAGTGTTATGTAAATGTTGCATATAGCAATGCTGACAAGAATTTGTTCTAGTACATGTTATCCCAAGTTAAATGTTTTCTTTTGCATCAACTAAAATCCGAAAAGTAAGCTAGCACACCATTTTTTTTCTGCCTCTCTTTTTAAAATCCATTTTAACTACAAACCTCTTTGGGACTTTCATTTTTAGGAATAAATAGTTTATTTACAAATCATTGTGATTTCTTATTGAAGCTGGTGGAAAACTGGACTCTTACTTATGCTACAGAATTACCAGTGATGGTTACTATCATTATATAGCCTAGTCTCCAGATGCCTAGTACTTACCTGTAATCAAGAAATGGTTTGAAGAGCTAAGTATGTCATAGTTCCCTGCATGCTGCTTACTGGTTTTCTGGCTGCTGGCCTTTAATGTTAATGAATATTCAGTGGCTTATTATTCTAAATGAGAGAGGAAAAACATGGCTTCTTTATTGTAATATGCTTAAGGTCAGTCTACATTATAGATGAGTGGGCAAATTGGATACTTGGGATAATTTGAAGATGCCACATGTCCCCATTACCCCATTGAAATTATTGGGGTCAAGGATATGGTCTCTGCTACCACATAATGTTTTTAAAATTAATTCTTATTTTTAAACAAATGATAAATTCACAAAATTTAAAAAATCAAATTGTGTCTAAAACTTTTAATAACATAAAACAGAAGTTACCTTCTTGTACCACTTTCACTTTGTTGGATTTTCCCCGCTCAGTAGTTTTCTTAAATTATATTTTTTTCATTTCTTCTATGTTAACAACTATAAAGTCCTTTCTCATCTTATTTTCCACATAATCAAGTGTATCAGAAATCTATTAGATGCATTAATTTTAATCAGAGATCTGTCTTCCAAAGTCATCCATCATCCCATATTAATCTGGACTGTTGCTACATGGCTATTGTCTGGAATTGAGTTACTATCCTGGGATTTCCCTTCATCTTTCCGTATTAGACCCTCTGTTTCTTGGAACCTATGTCATTTATCTTGATATACTCCCTTGTTTTGGTAGTGTACATTCTTTAGTGGCTTCCTTAGAAAAAGTGCATAAATGGTAAAATTTTGAGACCTTGCATATCTGATAGTTTTATTCTAGTCTCACCCTTGGTTGATTAGTTTAACAGGGTAGAAAATTTCAGGTTGAATATTAGTTTTCTTCAGAATTTGAAGGTGTTATTTCATTGATTTTGAATTTTCAACATTGCTGTTGATATCTGATGTTATTCTGATTCTGATCTTTTGTATATCACTCTTTATGACCTCTAAAAGTTTTTAGAATCTTCTGTTTGTTCATGGAATTCTGAAAGTTGATGATGTACAACAGTGGAATACTTTTACATTTATTGTACTGGGTATTCCAAAGGCCTTTTTATCCAAAAACTCTTGTCTTTTAGTATGGGAAGCTTTTCTTTTGTTATTTTCATATTTTTCTTCCCTTTAATATTTTTCTTCTTCTGGAATACCTGTTGGTCAAATGTCAGATTTCCTGACTCATTCTATACAATTAGAAACTACACCCAAGTTTCACTGTGGAACTACCCCAGTGAGCCCTTGACTGTTGTCATCTCTGGGCAGAGATACCATAAATTCACTGCTAACATTGGGAATTGGAAATTAGAATCTCTTCTGAGATTCTAAAAGCGAGATGTTTCTGCCGCCACCCTATGTCACATGCTCCTTCACTTTACGGGTTTTTCGAATCACAGTTGCCCATGGGTGTGTCTGATTAGGGAAAGGTCACATACCTATACCCTACCTGCAAAAGAGTTGGAGATTTCAGGCTAAATGTTAAGGGTCTGAGAGTCATAAGGTCAGGAATTCCATGAACGCAGAAAAGGTATTCAAAAGGTACTCCGCAGCTAGTGAATTTAAATAGAAGACAGTTGGAACTTCAGGACACTGGATGACTGGAGAGGGTCTTTTTAAAGAAAAAGCAATAATATGAAAGATTAATGCTTTCCAATATTATCAAGATGATAGCATTTTTGTGTACTGAATTACATGCATGTTACATATATAATAAAATTGTAAAATTCTGTATCTAGGAAGTAAGCAGTCTTTATTTTTGCCTCCATACAGTCTTTAATAAGAACTTTTATTCCCCCACATTAACTAGGCTATTTGTCCTTGGAAAGTTGGTAATGGTTGAATGGGCTAGTATTATATGTTTATATATTTAGATATCATTTATAGATATCATTTATCTATAAATAGCTATTTGGCTGATTCATTAAAGAAAATTGAAGTATAAGTCATTTTGGTATAATAAATTATCAAATCTATTGTATATACAGTCAGTGATATACAGGCTTTTCATTTGTAAAATATAATTACTTTTTAGATGTTTGTCTCCTACATTAGCCTCAAGGCTCTCTAAGAGCTGGTACCATGTCTTGTTCATCTTTATATCTTTTTACTCTTAACATTGAACTTATATATCATTCAATGTATATTTGTAAATCAAACCACCACCTTTGATTCAAATAAAAATATATCAGTTTTTTTATCAGGTACAAAGATAGTTACACAGGATCTGAGATCAAATAAAGAGAAACTACAGGCTGGGCATGGTGGCTCACACCTGTAATCCCAGCACTTTGGGAGGCCAAGGCGGGTAGATCATGAGGTCAGGAGTCCGAGACCAGCCTGGCCAATATGGTGAGAGCCCCCCCATCTCTACTAAAAATAAAAAAAATTAGCTGGGTGTGGTGGTGCACACCTGTAGTCCCAGCTACTTGGGAGGCTGAGGCAGAAGAATTGCTTGAACCCAGGAGGTGGAGGTTACAGTGAGCCAAGATGGTGCCACTGCACTTCACTTCAGCCTGGGCGACAGGGCAAGACTCTGTCTCAAAAAAAAAAAAAAAAAAAGAGAAACTACAGTCTTGTCCAAACTTTTCCACACAGTACTAAGCATGTGGTATTCTGAGAGCACCTGGAAAGACAACACAATACATAAGAAACTGCACACAACTTAATGGGAGCAGAAGCAGGGCTTGTGACAACAGCAATAGAAAGGAATAACCTTTACTTGAGATTACCTGGCAACCTAATTCAAGTCCAGAGGATAAAGTGATTTTTTTTTTCCTGAGTGAGCTCAGGTGTCCAATCTGAGAAAAGAAAGGTGTTATATTTTAGGGATTTGGGGGAATAATGGTTTTTAGCATGATGTGATTTCAAAAACAGTAAGACAAGGCTTGACATGAGCTTAGAAAGCAACTCTGGAAGCATATGGAAACAAATTCAGTATCCAGGAGCATTGGAAACTGAAGCGAAAAAAACAAAGACAAAAAGTAGGCTGTCATCCCAATGGACTGGGGGAGACTGGCCAGCAGTTCAGAAAGTGTGGTTTCCCCCCTAGCAGCATTAGGATCATTTGGGAAAGTGTTAGAAATGCACATTTTCAGGCCCCACTCTTGACCCACTGAACCCAAAACTCTGGGGATAGGACTCCTCAGTCTATGTTTTAACAAGCCCTCGTGGTGATTCTGATAAGCAGACCTTCAAGATGACATCCATGGGATGAAGTTTATCACCACCACCAGCCACCTTCCACCCTTTCCCAAGCATATAAGGTTTATAGCGTTACACAAACTACGTTTGAATAATATTCCTTTTGGAGGATGTAACTTGTAATGAACCACTGGGATTTATTCTTGTCAGTTTAAGACTTAGATAGGATAGAGTCTGTAGGTGGAATGACTTCATTGTTCACACCTGGCAAAACCACTGCAAGGGCAAGCAGGTATTATTAGCTATAGCTTTTCTAATCTGAGTTTTGATAGTAACTAGCCATGTAATCTTAGTAAAGTCACTCAACCTCAGCATGCTTCTTTTTACTCATTTGTAAAATGAAAGGAATGACAATGATTGCTAAGGTCCTTTTCAGCTCAAAATTATATGATCAATCCCATGTTTTTTGGATTAAAAAAAATCCTGCATTTTAAAAAGCAATGGGTAAAAGGCAGTGCATATGGGAATATAAACAGTTTTGGTGGTAGGAAAATGAATATATAAGCCTTATCATAAGCCTGACTCTGTTGAAAGAATACAATCCCCTGAACATAAAAATCCTACTTTTAATTACCTCAGAGCAGGAAGGAAGGTAATTGGTGACTGTGGTTTCATGGAATTATTAATCTAATATTTTCATTTATATTCAAAACTAGATAATACTTGATAGTTGTCACATCAGTTATGATTTTCAATTCCCCATGCCTGGAAGTTAGTAGTACTCATTGATTTTTTTGTTTTGTTTTTTAATAGGGGAGGAAAAACATTGAATATGCAAACAACTCAATGGTAACGTTAGAATAAGTTCCTCATACCTAGTTTAGGAGTCATTCAGCTCAATATCTTTACTTAGAATAGCTTTAAAAATTAAATTACATATTTGCTTTCTTGCATTCCATTTTTCCTCCTTTTAGGAAGATATAGTAGAATATTGCCACTTTTCTTTCACTTTGATCCTCTTCATAATGAAACTATTGTGTGTTTATGATATGTTCTGTTGGACTGGGGCTTTGAACTGATGAAACAGGAAAGCCATAACAAGCACCAGGGCTGACTTGGTATGTTGACTCAGTTCCCACATAATGATGGCATATATATGTATGCACATTATAATGTTGTGACACACAGAAGAAAAACGTGTTACCCTGTCTCAATTTCCTGTTTTAATGCAAGTCCATACAACATCCCAATCTTTCTCAGGCTCTCCAAGCACCCCTGACTTTACTGTTTCGTAAGGGACAATTCACAGACTACTTCCCCGCAGCCTGAACTTACCTAGAGATACTTCTTTCACTCTCAGTTCCATTCAGAGATAGCAGCATTGTGGTCATTCGGTAACTTGATTGAAACAAGGCACTCAACTGTGACTTATTGTCATAATCATCCAAAGAGGCCCACCAAGCATTGTTCTTGCTAGAAAGGCACAAAAGGAATAGAAACATGCCCTTCATTTGGAAGGACATATTTTTATATGCCTCAGAACGACGGACGCCCAGAAACATCTCTGAGGTATGAGGCTCCTATATTTGATGGTATTTATATCATCCAGCATTCATTTATGTGACCAAGGACCTAGTGTACTTGCAACTTCCTGCTGTGCAGGTCATTTCAGTATGATATTATTTTGTACAATGAACTAGCCTGATATCAAGTGGAATAGAAAGATGGCCTAGGATAACTGACCTCTGCTTAAAAAATGAGCTGACCTGTGAGGGTCACAATATCCTTTCCATAAATTCCCTTTTGCTTTAGCTAACCTGGGTCAGATTCTGTTATTTACAGAAACTCTAGGTGATTATAAACTAGAAACCTTAGGTATTCTAAAATTTTACCATAAATTCCCTTTTGCTTTAGCTAACCTGGGTCAGATTCTGTTATTTACAGAAACTCTAGGTGATTCTAAACTAGAAACCCTAGGTATTCTAAAATTTTACCATGAACGTGGTTGCAGGCAACAGATATTTCCGAAAACTGAGTCATTTGGCATTGTTTACCTGGCTGTAATGAGGCAAGAGGTGGTGAAACTCTCATTCATATTCCAAGATGGGAAACTAGCATCAGACAACAGAGAATTACATTACCGCCTCTGGTTATTAGGATCTAGAAACTTCTGAGGTTCTAGAAAGCTTTAGGGCTGGGATCAGCAAACTATACTCCACCTGTAGTGTTGCCTGTTTTTGTAAATAAATCTTTTTGGGGGACACAGCCATGCTCATTCTTTTAGTATTGTCTATGACTGCTTTCATACAAGACAGCAGAGTTGAGTAGTTGTTCCAGAAACCTTATGACCTGTAAAGCCTCAAATATTTATTATCTGGCTATCCACAGAAAAAGTTTGCCAACACTTGCTTTAAGCAACTTCATAGTTTTTTGCCATCAAATAATACAAGCGTGAGGAATTCAAGCATTGTGAGATAGCATTAGATAAATTAACCAGTAAGAATCAATTGTTGCCTCTGAGGATAGCCTGCTACAGGGATATTTTATGATAATTCTGAAAAAAAATCTATCTCTGATCATTATAGGACCGAGATAGCAAAAGTGAAACTTATGATTTGATCCAGGGTTGCTAAACTAATGATTTATGAATTAAAGTATCTTAAATACTGTGCAATGAGATAGGAGATGACCATGAAAATAATTTATAACAAAGACATCCAGTCTATCTTTGTGTAAATTTCTTATAAGAATCATTAAACTTAGGAAGTTACTTTAAAAAAAAAAAAAAGACAACTATTCAAGTGTGCCAGTCTTTCCAGGGACAACGAATCACTGTTAGTAGATATTTTAGGAAAAAAAAAAAAAAAGGAAGCACATATTTGCTATATCCCTGAACCACTTTTCAAAAGAAACTTACATTCTCCAAAGCATATTTTGAAAACAGTTATTTGGAATCTTGTCCATCATTATATGACTTTAAAGTTCAAAATACTAAAATATGTTTCCTATAAAAACTTTTATTTCTAAACTTAAAAACAATCTTTTAACCTGTTTAAAATTTTTCAAAGTAAAAATGTTTTGGTATCTTTTCATTTGATGAAAATATGTAAATGAAATACTTCTCAGTTAGTTTGCAAGAAAATTACTATCAAAATTTTAACAGATGAATACAACTGAAAAACATAAAATTATGCTTGAGTAAGGAAAACTCATGTGTACTTCTCTTAGGCAGATGTATCTTCATGTTTTTTTGCAAAGTGTCCTTTTCAGTTGTGACTACAAAGTATAGTATAGACAAAACGTACTACTAAAATATAGTATAGCAAAACCTTTGGATCACATGTCAAAAAGCGTTAAGCCAAATTTTCAAAAATTATGGAGCATATTCAATGACATTGCATGCATTAAAAACTATTTTCTTAATATTTTAGGGAAAGCAAATAATTGTCTTGTTTTGTTTTACTATTTATTGACCTTTTTACAGAAACTTCTTTTGGCATCACTGATGTTCTTTATGGTTTTCTGTTTTCTATTTCTTTGATCTGTGATAATTAAATATGATGCTAGATGCCATTTATTAAATTGAGGAAGTTCTTTTCTGTCCCAGCTTGCTGAGAGTTTTTCCTCATAAATATTGTCAAATGATTTTTCTGTTTCTATTAAATAAACTCATATTTTGTTTCCTACTTATTCTGTTGATACAGTGAATTACACTGATTTTTATTTTTATTATACTTTAAGTTCTGGAATACATGTGCAGAACGTGCAGGTTTGTCATGTAGGTATGCACGTGCCATGGTGGTTTGCTGCACCCATCAACCTATAATCTACATTAGGTATTTCTCCTAATGCTATCCCTCCCCTTGTCCTCCACCCCCCAACAGGCCCCAATGTGTGATGCTCCCCTCCCTGTGTCCATGTGTTCTCATTGTTCAACTCCCACTTACAAGTGAGAACATGTGGTGTTTGATTTTCTGTTCCTGGAATTACACTGATTATTAAATGTTGAAACAGTGTTGTATTCCTGAGATAAACCCCAGTTGATCATAACATATTATCCTTTTCTATATATTGCTTAATTCCATTTGTTGATAATCTATTAAGGGGTTTTGTGCCTATAAAATATTGGTCTAAGAAGATAGATCTCCTCTATCAACTCTACCAGCTGAAGGACTTTTCAGCTGATGCTGATTTCCTATATTTCCAAGTAATTTCAATTCCTCCATGTCCTGATTCTAAACACTCTGTTATTTCATGGTGAGCTTCCTTATAGTGGCCACTGTTAGGATCATCATGTCCCTCAATACTAGGATCTGCCTTCTGAACCAGAACTTTCTCACGGTACCCAAAGCTGCACATGCCACCAGTTCCTGTTCATTCCCAGTGGGGAATTGATTTTCAGTTATTTCCCAGATGCTCATACTGTTCTCTCTCCTACTGTAGTTAGCACTCTCCCAATGTGGAATTCAGTAATTCTTTGACACCCTTGAAATTCTTCAAGTGGCAATAAAGGTAACTCAAGCATCCATTAGATCTGGCATCTCTGTACTCACTGAGTAAAGCGCTTTGCTCTTCCTGAGGCCTTCTGCTTTACTGTGCTCTACATTTCCCTGTTTCCTTTTGCTGCACCAGTGATTCTGAGTCACCTTCTCGCCTATATGCATCGTTTTGTTTTCTCCATTGGCTCTTTCTGGTCAGTGTATAAACATTTCAGTTATCTCTCAAATTAAAATGAAAACTACCTTCATTAAAACAATCAATTTAAATAAACAAATACCTTGTTACTAATCCCTATTTTTCCTCTTCACAGCCAAGCTTCTAAAAAGAGTAATCTATACCCATTGTCTACATATTTTTTCCTTTCTCTTTCACTCCTCAAGCAATGTGAGCTTGTTTCCACCCCCAATATTTTAATGACTAAAGTTGCCCATGACTTAGTAACTGCTAACCCCCTGAAAACATTGAAAGCTTTAGTTATGTGACATTTTTGTCACATAACTAAAGGCAATCGATCACTCATTCGCCTTTCTCTATGGCTCTACATGTTAAATATTAATTCAATCCAGAGTTCTATCATTTTGCCCGTTCTATTTTATTTGGCCTTGAATATAGTAGGGGTCCCCAGAAGATTTAGTGAATAGGTGAATTTTAATTTCCTAATTTGATTAATCAGAATAATATAAAGTAGCATTACCGAGCACTTTCTACATGCCCAACACCATGCTGAATGCTTTAGATACATTTCCATTTTATTTAATTCTTTTGCAGTTTATAGGTGATATTATTAACAGCATGTTTCAGATTTAGAAAACTTGTACAAGATCAATGAGAGAGCCAACTCAATTCCCGGTCTTTTGACAGCAGAGCCTATGCCCTTAACAGTGACACTATTAATGCCCATGGCTTTTATTGTCCTCTTCGTGATTCCCAAATATTTCTCCAGACCTCTCTTCTGAGGTCTGGAACTATAGCTACAACTGATAAGTTCCTCAAAGTCACTGTGTACAAATCTGTACTCGGGAGCTTTGTTCCCAATCTTTTCTGCATTTCCTATCTTAGTGATTAATACCACCGCACTCTTTTTTCCAATTAGGAACCTCAGAAAGCACCTTGCTCTCCTATTGCTTGCATTGTTCCTGCCCTCTAATCTTCAGTCACCACCTCCCATCAATTTTACCTCCTATTAGCCCTCCACTGCCACTTCTTCTCATCTCTTCTGCCTGCACCCTAAGTCACATCCTTCACATCTCGCTTGTCTCCCTGGTTTTAATCTCACAATTCATCCAGCTCATCACTGCCAGCATGCAAGTGAGAATCTGATTATGTTACTCTCTCTCCTAAAAATTCTTCAGAGGCTCCTAATTGCTTGCAATATAAAATTTGAGTTCTTTGCCATGACATGTAAGGCCCAATAATATCTCTTCCTTCCAACCCCTTCAGCCTCATCCTCTGGTAGCTCCTCCTCCCACTTCCAAACCCTTACACTTTACACTCTATCAGTACTGGTAGTTTCCTGAACAAGCCACATTTTCTCACACCTTATTCCCACTCCTTGGAATATCTTCTCTCCTGTTTCCCCAAGTTTGTCTGTCAGACAAGCTTTCCATATATCGATCTCTATATCTATCTATCTATATATAAAATAAAATTTTTAATTTTTATTTATTTATTTATATATTTTTTAAACAGAGTCTCACTCCAATGCCCAGGCTGGAAGGCAGTGGTGAGATCATGGCTTATGCAGCCTTGACCTCCTTGGGTTCAGGTAATGTTCTCACCTCAGCCTCCTGAGTAGCTGGAACTACAGGCACCCATCACCATGCCTGGCTAATTATTTGTAGAGATAAGATCTCACTGTTACTCAGGCTGGTCTTAAACTCCTGGGCTCAAGTGATCCTCCCACTTCAGCCTCCCAGAGCTGGGATTACAGGGGTGAGCCATCATGCCTGGCCTCCTTCAATATTTAGGTCAGGTATTTACCACCTTGAGAAGACTTCTCTGACTTTCCCAGGTGAGGTGTTCCTTGTTCTTCATGCCCACATTGGAACTTGCATTTAATCCCCTCACATATTAAAATTAACTTATTTGTACTTATCTGCTCCCTCATTTGACTCCAAGGAGATGGATCCCGAATGTTTACAAGTATATGTTCCTGTAGATGCATGTTTTTCATGAATACGAACCTGTACTGCCTACCACAGAGTCTCAGTAAGAATTAGCTGACTAATGATTAAAGCATATAGTAGGGAGAAGGGAGAAAAGAAAGGAATGGAATGAGTGACGAAGGGAAGATGGTTCTGAGTTTTAAGAAACTACTCTAGACTCCTTGTAGCTCTCTATCTTTTTTTCTGCTAAATAATCTTGGATCTCCCAATGCTAAATATTTTATTTTAATCATGGCTGAGACTTCTGTTCTCACCTGTTTGAGTATAAACGCCAAAGTCATCCTCTGTAGACAGCAAAGTGCCTTGAAAATTCTCCCACCTTCATTGGCAGATCTCTTGCCAGCTGCCAGCTTCCACTCCAATTTTAGTTCCTTTTTGTAAGGGTTATTGCTGAGTTTAAAATGAAGAAACTGAGGCCAGTATAAGAAAATTAAATGCTAATTTATTCAGCTCCCGGGCGAGGTTCTGTGGTCCGGAGAAACGGGCCAGAGAAGTCGCGCTGACTTCCTGGGGCGTGGGGTTTTTGTGGCTATGGGTAACGAGCAACAGCTGGGTGCTCTGATTGGCTCCAGGGAAGCGGGATTGGGACTGAGCAGGCGCTACTGGTTGGCGGGCTGTTGGGCGGGTTTTTCTAGTACAAGGGCCGGCCAGGGTTGCATCAGCCACAGCCTTCCAGGGGAGCCATGCGGCAGATCTAGGTGCCAAGTGCAGAGCCAGGTGCCGGGTGCAGAGTCAGGTGCTCAGTGCAGAGGTGGGTGTGTCCGGCCTCTCAGTGAGGCAACCGGCCTTACACTTTTTATGGAAACCCTTGAATCCATAACAATATGATAAGCAAAGAAAACCAAATTTTCTTTTGAAAGTGGTAATGATAGTTAATGACAGAAATATACTCAACCAAAGTGTCAGATTGCCCAGGAATAACATATTATAATTAGTCTGTCTAAAGATATTTCTATCACTAAAAATACTTAAATACTTAAGAGCTACTTATTTGGAACATTTTGTTCATCGTTCAAAATCTGTATTAATTTTTAATTAAAAAACTTGTTAATTTCTCAAAGAAAAATATACTGGGAATTTTTGCATTTTAACTTTTTAGTTAACAAAGCTATCAGTGATAAATAAAGAAAATAAATTGTCACTCTGAGAGTAAAGAAAGATGGTAAGATAACAGAGAGATGGTTTGTCTGTACAGAAAAATCTTGTTCTCTAAGCAAGTTTCTAAGGGAAGAGTGTTTGTGTCAGTGTAGGTAAGGAGAAAAATAGGATACAATTAACTATGCATTAGGGATTTTTGCAAGTCAAGAGTTTAAAATGTAATCTTTAATTAGATAGAGAAATCCCCACTCTTGAGAGTATTAGATATCTCTTAGTTCTGCGGGAAATATCGAATGAGAGTGACTTTAAGGTCCATTACTCTGATAATCTGCCCTTAATTCCCTTCTTAGTTTTCATAAACTTTTCAGAAGTAAAATCTGCTAATGAAATAGTTTGTATTTTCATAATTAATCCAGTAGAAGGTAAATATTTATGCAATAAAAGAAAAAAATAACTTTTAAATATTTACTTTATCAGAAACTAAACCTTTTGTAGTGTGCCTTTCTGCAGTCAGCATTTCAACTCATCTGCTACCAGCACAGTGCATGTCTTTATCTTAGTCTTACTCATTAAACCAAGGCTATACTGATTTATACCTAAAAATAGCAAACAATGCACTCTTCCTGCTTCCTTGGTAGGAGAAATCATTGATCCAAGGACGTTTATTCGCTAGTTATGTTTATTCTCTGGATGTGTTCTATCACTCTCTTGCGAGATTAGGTTTCATGTAATATTGTTTTACTTTTCCTTAAGCTATTTGAATTTCCTCTCCAAAATATGCTTTAGAAAGCCTAACTTCATCTCTCTCTCTCACTTATCTCTTGCTGTTGTTCCATTGTATTACTTTTCTTTCTTCAACAACTATTCTTGATTTCCCACTTTCCACTCCTATCCCTGTAATTCCTAATAGAAAAGGCCTACTGCACTTGGATTTCTAACAATGTACATTCTGTTCTACGGGACATTATGCTGGTATCTTACCTATTGTGAAAGGTTCCTAATTGTAATTGCTACAGAATTCTTTGAATTACAAAAAGGCTTTTTCTTTTTCTCATCAATAATAGTTGTCTTTTGTTCTCTTGATTTTCAAAGCATATGAATCCATTAGCAATATACAGCACCAGTGTTCTAAAACCACCTCAGATAGATAATTGTTTGCTATTCAGCTACTTTCAAAACCAAGTAAGAGATGTGGGGTTTATGAAAGTTTTCAATGTAAATGCTTTTCATTGAAACCCCTAGGTAGCCTAAGCTTTTTTTTTTTTTTCCGATTAAATTAGAGCCCTGGAAGACTGCATGGTTGTACCCTATTAACTTACATTTTATAGAACCAGTTGTACTAAAGTATATTTTTAAAACTGTTGACTTTAATGGAAGATTGTTATAAAAAAAAACATTAAAAATTTGTTTTTATATTGATGGTTTTGATTATAAAACTATTGCAGAGGATATTTTTCTTAAGTAATAATGGTTAACAATCTTTATATAAGTAATAAATGAGAAATTTGTTTTGGAATTTGGCTGCAGAGAATAAATAGGTCTTCCAGAAATATTGACATAATTTTTCTTTTCTCATTATAATTATAAAATAACATATTTCTCCCCATTTCCTGCCCCAACCCTGACTGCTAGGTTACTCAGAGCAACACGTGATATACAATCACATTAACCATGTCAATGCTTTCAAAATTTTTGACCTTGCATAATACCTTCATGATGTTTTCCATATCCTTATATTTCCAGAAGAATAATTTATATTCTAATTTTGATCAAATCATGTTTTTACTTCAGCAAATATCTTTTATAAGAATACTCGGGTGTGATGTGCTAGTTATGTATTTAATTCACATTGAAATAGTATTAAACTATTAAAATAAAAAAATTATTATTTATATATGTTTAGAATCATCTCACATACTATCAGTGGTACACATATATTAGAAGACATTAAATTATGTTAACTTTTAGGATTGGCTTATTTTGTCCTCCTACGTTTGGTTCTGATTTTTCTTTTTAATAACTTTATTGTATATGCCTCTCATTGCCTCAAAATATCTTTGCTAAAAGGGACTTTTGACTACAAATGGCAACAATTTAAATGTATTCGCTTATGGGGTTTTTTTTGTTGTTGTTGTTGTTGTTTGTTTGTTTTAAGTGAGTTGGATCTCTCTGTTCTAATAATGGAAAAGTCCAAGATAGAACTCTTCAGGCTTAGCTGGATCCAGGGTTCAATGACATCAGTAGGTCTCAGCCTTTATTCTTCATCTTTCAGCTTTATCCTATGTAGCCACTATTTTCAGACAGACTCTTCATGTGCTGGCTCCCTGAAGCTCCAGGACATGTCACCAACCAGCTTAGCAATAATTTCAGGAAAAACCAACAAGCAAAACAAGACAAAACAAACAAACAAAATCTCTCATCTTTTCTACAAAGAGCAAAAATCTTAGGTCTGGCTCTCATTGTCCTGACCAGAGTCATGTGCCCATTACTGAACCAGTCACTGTGGCATGACATTGTAGTTAGGTTGATACAGCTTGGATCATGCACCTGTAAGAGATGTGTCAGTTCCACCCACACCACATATATTAATAGTAGGGTGGATAGTCCTCTAAAGGAAAAGAGAGTTTTGGTTACGAGTGGTAGGGAAAATGATGAGTACTGGTTAATCAAAAACATTAGGTATGCATCACAAAGCAGGGTTGGCAGATTTAGAGGGAAAATAAAAAGCAGGACACCTGAGGACATTTACAGTTCAAATAAACAATGAATAACTTTTAGTATAAATATGTCCCATGCAACCTTTGGGACTGCTTATACTAAAAAATTATTTATTATTTATTATTATCTGTTAAATTATTTGTTAAAAATTATTTATTTATTATTAATTATCTGAAATTCAAATTTAAGTGAGCATTCTATATTTTATCTGACAACCCTACCACAAATGTATATACATAAATTTAATTTTTAAAAAATATAAGATTGAAATTAAAAGAATAGGAAAATAAGTAATCTTATATTAGGCAGCCACTTCATCCATCTAGAATCATAGGTACTATAAACATAACTACAGTACTACATAACTACAGTAAAAATAAATAACATTTACAATTAAATTTTCATTATTAAAATAAAAACCAAAGAATTTTATTTCAATAATTTAAGCAACCGGACGTCACTTTATTTACATAGATGTTGTTGATATAATTTTAATATCTATATTTTGTGCTTTCTGCTTTGTTTTTCTGGGAAAGACCTATCTTATTAGGATATTTCCACTTGTTTAGCACTCCTGAAATGTGAAATTATAAGTCATTTTGGTTACATTTATTGGGCAATGGCTACTACAATGTTTTCTTGATTCATCCTGAGACTCAGAGTCTCAGGATGTTTTTTTGCTGATGTCATCTGATAGACTTGTATTAGGCAGGCCGATTCATCAGTGTATACTGTACACCTGCACCACCACCCTCATGGCAGCACTTCCTCTGCCATTTGAGGAAGTACATCTTCTCTTGTGGCATGTAGTCTTGGTAGGATGGTCAGTTCAGTGTCCTGCCATCTCTGACCAGGTGAACCTGTGACACAACTCAGGCTAAGCAAACAATTTCTACCTCAATTTTGAGTTTCAAGAGGAATTACTTTGGAGCCAGAAGAGGAGTTTATTCATTCTGATGAACTAGCCGAGGAGATTGTCCATTTGTTCTTTTTTTTTTTGCTATGATTCCAGGCAAATGACATTGCCCCTGTTTCTGTCCTAAGATTTGTATGAGCCTTCTAATAATTTCCTTTTTGTATGCTAGAGTCTGTTTCTATTTTCAGACACCCATGAGCCTTTCTAAGTAAATGTCACATGATTTTGATATTTTAAATCGTATTTCTCATGTCAGCTTATAAATTCAACATAAGAATATACTAATACTGAAGTAGAGCTTTTATGATATTGTCACAGGGAGAGAAACACAAGTGAGTTCATTACCTATGTATGTTTAGTCTTCTTCTTTTTTTTTCCTAAGTAGAATTATGGGTTCAAGCAAGAAGATCTAACCTAATTAACCTTTCTAATTGTGTCAAGTACATGTTCAAGATACAGTGTAAGGCTCTTGGGAAGATGTAAGGATTAAAAGCATAGTTCTGGATTTCAATGAGTTAATAAAAAGATTGGGTTCTATAGGAAACCAACTCTGGGATGGAGTTTAGCAGTTAGACTGTGTATAGGAACGTTTATGGGATCTGTACTTGTTAGAGAGAGGGGTAAGGAAGAAGCAGGAGTAGGCAGAAGGAAAAGTTGAATTGTGGAGCAGAACCAGCAACAGTTTTTCTGGTCCTAGGAAAACCTCTGGGGTTAGAATGGCCCTTCAGAGTATTCCCAACATTGTGTGAATTAGTCATTGGGTATGAAGTGCCAAGAAAGGGGCATGACCTTGACTGAGGTGGCTCTCTGCAATTGGAGCAATCCTGAAAAGGCTGTTAGCTGATGGCT